GCGTTGGGTTAATGACCCAAATTGTAAAAACTAGATGTTGTGAAACACCAACATGGTGCAGCTAAATATCAACTTCGATACATAAAAAGCCCTGTGAGTAGGTAAGTAAAGTTCCACTAAGAACTGTAAAAGTATATAATACCAAAGAACAAAAACAAACAACAACTGTGGTTGCAGACATTGGGTGAACACGAAAGAAGACAGTTTGAAGAATGTTTAAAACCTGTAACCATTGACATTGATGCATAGTGGAAATACCACTGAAGGCAATAGCTCCCAGTTTTGAATCTTCTTTCATATATCTTTCTTTGTGTTCATTGTATAAGAAAGAAGCTCAGGTTTGGATTGAGAAGAGAGAGAGAGTAAATCCTTAAAGAGGTATCATGTAAAGAACCCAGAGTTTCTATGGCATCACTGTAAGGACTTTAAATTTCTATAGGTGGTTTGAATGTTTACCCGGACACCCCTCCCCCTCCTCATCTGCACATGTTATGAGATGTGGTCGCCCAGAAAACAGTAAGAAGACGTTGAACATAAAAAAGCAGTCATTTGTTTGAGCGAACCTCCTTGCTCGTCCCCATTCGCCATTGGCCCAGAGAGCAGCCAATGAGAGTGAGGGAGGTGGACTTCCTGTGGGCCAGTGAAACACTCCTGACCTCCACCGTCATGTTTATTTGAAGAGGAAAAAAGGAAAACGCTCCCCGTCATTAAGGAAAACACTGAGCCTGTGCGTGTGGGATTTGGATGTGTGCCTGCTCTCTGTGTTACTGCGCTCTGATTGGCTGACAGGACTGTCTAGAAAACATGTCACATGTATGAAGCGTGCTTGTATTGAGGGGCAGGATGGTTGAACATTGAACACTTTGTCCTGATGTATAGAGTTTCAATAAGACGTCTGCAAGAGTTTTACACTATTGATCTTATAGCCATACGGTCACATATGTAGATGCAGTCTCTCTCAATCAACATGTCTCTAACGGGTCTTGTAGACAGTGACAAAGACATGTTATGAGAGCTGTGATCAAAATGTGAACACAGAAAGTTCGCACTTGATAGATAACAACTATGATATGAGCAAAAGTACTTCCTACAATGGTTAAGAATAAAAATCTACATGTAACATCAATGTATATAACATTTATTTATTATTAGAAGGCTGAATAATATAAGAATATAACTAGTATTGAATTAATGCTTATTGTAATGCTATGTTTTCTTGATAAATTTATATTATTATCGCTATCATTATTATTATTATTTAATACTGCTAGTATTTATACTAAAATAGTTATATTTACAATACTTAAGTACTTAAGTTATTACTAAATTATATAATATATCTTTTTATATCTTATAATATTATATAATTTTTATTATTATAATTTTTAAATTATTATAATCATTATTTCAAATGACTACTATTGCTACACAACTACTGCTAATTTATCACAATTATTAACTTTATTAATAATTAAAATGTTTAATACTACTACTACTACTACTACTACTAATAATAATAATAATAAATAAAAATAATAATTTAATAATAATAATAATAGTAGTAGTAATAATAATAATAATATTAATTTAAATAATAATAATATTAATTTTATAATTATAATTTAATAATAATTAAATTACAATGTTATAATAATAATAAATATTATTCTTATAAAATTATTACAATTATTATTATAGAAAATATTATTATTAATAAAAATATTTTATTATAAACTTATTATTATTATTATAAATGTTTATTATTATTATTCCACAATTAAAGTTAATTATTATGATAAATTACAAGTAGTTGTAGTAGCAATAGTAGAAATAATGATGATGATGATGATGATGATAATAATAATAATAATAATAATAATAATAATAATAATAATAATAATAATAATAATAATAATAATAATAATAATAAATAAATAAGCAAACACAATCAACAACAATAATAATAATAATTATACTAATTTTGCAGTAACTGAAAGTGTAATTAATTGTTAAATGCAATTACAGTTATATTATTACAGTAATAAGGCTAAAATGTAGCCAAGTTTAGTGTTAAATTCTAAACATGAACACTGCTGTGCAATGGTGAAAAAGATAATATAACGATCTCTAGCGCCCTCAAGTTGTTTCCATAAATGAATGCTAATGTTTGCAAAATTCATAGAGAAATGCAGCCATCTATCGGTAAAAATCTGTAACTACAGCGTTCATTTCATGACTCGTTTGTGCATTATTAGTGCCTTCTTTTAACAACTAACCTTAAAATATTCATATAGTTTTACGGCGCCTGTCATAAAACAGCCCTGGATCATACGCTGGCCTTCACAAACATCAAATATCTATATGAAACATAAACACCTTTATATAGCTGTATGTATTTTTGTATTTTTATTTTAAGATATTTTTAATATCAATTATAAAATCTTAAAATATTATTTATTTTAATTATCAGGATACACATAATAATACACATGCATGCTAAAATGCTTTAAACAGACATGCATGTGTAGTACTTGTGCTTTAAATAATCTGTGTGGCCTTATTATTTTTGTTATTGTTGAAAAATAAAACATTTGACTAGGGTGTTTGATGAGAGCAAACTCTGGACAAAATGTGCTCAGTGTTTTTGACATTTAAAGGCATTCAGTTAGCATTTTTCCCCATCTGCACTGAGAAGTTCCCTCGCTTTGAAGGATCTTATCTCACACGGTACAGATGTTGCTGGAAGCTGCTGATACTTCTCTTAAAGATGAGGGAAGATGGCCTCTTTTTTTCTTCAGTGACATCATGTGCTTAAATCAGCATATTGAGCAGCAAATCTACATAGAATGATTTCTGAAGGAACGTGTGAAACTGAAGACTGGAGTAATGCTGAATATTCAGCACAGAATCACAGGAATAAGTGACATCTTAATATGTAAAAGTCATTTTCTTTTCAGCTTAGTCCCTTTATAAATAAGGGGTTGCCACAGTGGAATGAACCGCCAACTTATCCAGCATATGTTTTACACAGCGGATGCCCTTTCAGCTGGGAAACATCCATACACTCTTGCATTCACAGTCACACTAATTTAGCTTATTCAATTCATCTATACCGCATGTCCTTGGACTGTGGGGGAAGCCAGAGCACCCGGAGGAAACCCACACGAACACATGGAGAACATGCAAACTCCACACAGAAAAGCCAATTGGTCCAGCCGGGACTCAGCGACTTTCTTGCTGTGATGCAATCTTCCCACCCACTGCGCTACCGTGATGCCTACTGTATGTAATAAACTATTAATAAAAATGCTTTTCTTACTAAGAGGTTTTGTCCTGTTTCTAGTCCAAACATCAAAAAAAAAAAAAAAAAAAGAACAATTTGGTCACACTTTATTTTGATGGTCTCTTTTCCTGAATTGAAGTTACATTGCATCTAAATGTTAACTAATTCTCAACAGATTAGTAGTAGACTGTAAGGTTGAGCTTATGGGGTTAGTGTACGTTTCCATGTATTTGCAAAGTTTCTGATAGTCAATTAAATGTCTGTTGAAGAAGCAGTGTTGGCAGATATTAAGCAGACAGTCTACTAATACTCAAATGAGATGTAATTGGCATGCAGTTGCAATGCAATATTAGTCAACAAAATGTGCAATAGGGACCATCAAAATAAAGAGACAAGAAATTTCTAGACAAGAAAATATAAAGTAAATATTATCAGAAATAATATGTCAAAATTAAGCGAGTTATTTTCTTAAAACAACAAAAATAATCTGCCACTGGTGTAAGAAAAATAATCTTATTTCAAACTGAAAACTAGATTATTTTGCTTACCCTATTGGCAAATGATTTTGCTCGTCTCAGACACTATTTTTTTTTACTTTTCTAGAAAATGCTTCTCGCTATAAAAATGTTTGGATGTCTGGACTAGAAATAAAACAAAAACTCATCCACACACTCATTCACACACACTCATACACTACAGACAATTTAACCTACCCAATTCACCTGTACCGCATGTCTTTGGACTGTGGGGGAAACCGGAGCATCCGGAGAAAACCCACACCAACACAGGGAGAACATGCAAACTCCAAACAGAAACACCAACTGAGCCGAGGCTCGAACCAGCGACCCAGCGACCTTCTTGCTGTGAGGCGACAGCACTACCTACTGCGCCACTGCCTCGCCACATTTTGTATAATACAATTTTTAAAATAAAAAAAATGTTTACATTAAAATATTACATTTTTTATTTAATTTATATAAAATCTTTTTTAAAACATGTTAGTTATGATTAATTTTATTAAATACAATAGTAACACTTTACAATAAGCAGCTTGTATTAGTTTATGTTAATGCATCTACTAACGCGAACAAGCAATGAACAACACATCGATCATTCATTTTCCTTTGGCTTAATCCCTTATTTATCAGGGGAATGAACCATCAACTATTCCAGCATATGTTTTCACGGGGCGGATACCCTTCCAGCTGCAACCCAGTGCTGGGAAACACCCACACACATACACTACAACTAATTTAGTTTATCCAATTCATCTATAGTGCATGTCTTTGTACTGTGGGGGAAATTGGAGCACCCGAAGGAAACCCACATCAACAAGGGGAGAACATGCAAACTCCACACAGAAATGCCAACTGGCCCAGCTGGGACTCAGCAACCTTCTTGCTGTGAGGCGACAGTGCTAACCATTGAGTCATTGTGCCACCCCACTTAGTTATTGTTTGTCGATGAAAATAAAGTCATTTATTGTTAGTTCATGTTAACAAGGTGCATTAACTGATGTCAAAAAGCACGAGTTTGGATGTTAATAATGCATTAGTAAATGTTGAACCATGATTAATAAATGCTCTACAAGTATTGCTCATCATTAGTTCAAGTTAGTACATTAACTAATGAAACCTCACTGTAAAGTGTGACAAATACCAATGAATTGAATCAGGTATTTTATTATAGTTTTAAATGGATTTTCTTTCTCTCTCAGCCAACAGAGCCTCTGAACATGAATCATTACGCCACTAAGAAGAGTGTGGCGGAGAGTATGCTGGACGTGGCTCTGCTGATGGCCAATGCGTCTCAGCTGAAGGCCGTACTGGAGCAGGGCCCAGAATTCAGATATTACCTTACCGTCATCATCCTCATCGGCGCTTCACTCTTCTTCCAGGTGCTCGCCGGCGCCCTCTTCGTCAACATGGGTAAACGCCAGATCTATCATGCAGAGTCAAATGATTTACATACATTTTAGAATGACCATTTCAGTGATGTGACATAATAAATCATATTCAAATGTGTACCATAAATTTAATGCTGATCATGGAAGCAGAAGGAAATGATTTTTTTAAGTATATTAAATGCTTACTTTAACATAATGATTTGATTTTATAAAACCTCAAATTAACAATAATATTTAATGAATAAATATGAAGCTGAGGTAGGAAGCTGGTATTTATTTACCATAAATAAGTGTGTGCTTTGTTAAAAGCGTGTTATTATAGCAGACAAATGTAATAAAATATTTATCTAATTTTTATAGTTAATTTTTTATTTTATGTATTCATTTTGTGATATAATTCAATATTATTCATGTTAAAATAAACAATATATATATATATATATATATATATATATATATATATATATATAATTACATTTTTATTATGTATACATTTTTAACTTTTATTTTATTTAAATCATTTGCGATACTTGTTAATTTATTTATTTATTAAATTAAAATTTAATGAAAAATATTTATTTTTCTACAATTTTACCCTAAATCTTTCTTAAATTAACTTTTTTTTAATATCCTAACAAATATTCTAACAAACATTTGATATAAATCAACTTATTAAATTAAATTAAAATGTTTTCATACAATTTTACCTAAAATAATTCTAAATTAACATTTTTTAAATAATCTAACAAATATTCTTACAAAAATGTGATATAATTCAACAATAAATTAAATAAAGTTATTTTTTTTTTCATACAAATTTACATTACAACTTTCTTAAATTAACATTTTTTTAAATATTCAAACAAATATTTTAACAAATTCAATTTTAGTAGGGTGATATTTTATATTTAGTGATTCCTTTTGATAAAATCTCTATTTTCCAGCTCGCAAAAACCTGAACAACGTGGCGAATCAGAGGAAGCTGGACATCATGAATAATGTGGCCACGGGTTTGGTGTTTCTCACCGTCATCATCAACATCTTCATCACTGCGTTCGGCGTGCAGAAGACAGGTCTCTATCCTAAGCAGTAAATAATCTGTAAGGAGAATATAAACCAATGTTCAAAATGCAAGCTACATAATAACAACCACGGATGTGTAATTAGACTGATGAACGTTTCTTTCATTTGCTTTCAGAGTCTCAGTAATGGACATGAAATAAAGACACATTCTTCAGTCCAGCCAATCGTCAAAGACTTCCTTCTGCTTTTGATATTTGTTAAGCTATATAGAAAACATATTTATTTCACAGAGGGCATTACATTAGAGTCTCAATATCATATTAAAAGCCATTCATGTATCATAGACGTCCAGAGGAAAAACTGCAATCACATAACATTAATGCATTATTTAAGTGTGATATATTCATGCTGACTGTAACCAAACAATAAATGTTTATCATAAAAGACTCCACTGTCTACTTTGTGTGTGTGGTCACTGAATATATTATGTGTCATATTAGTCTTTATTTTCTTATTTGTGTATGTATTTATCAAATTTCTAACTGCGTGGGGTTTTGTGTGTGTGTATCTATATATTAAAATCACTTTACTGTTTTTATTAATTGCGTATACAACGTGTAATGTTTTGGCTATATATATATATATATATATATATATATATATATATATATATATATACATAAATAATTTATATAAATAATATATAAATAATTTTAAGGTCACTAATTATCTCCTATAAGCAGTATATTTTTCAATGGTCTACAGAACAAACCATCGTTATAAAATAACTTACCAAATTAACAAAATAACAAATTACCCTAACCTGCCTAGTTAACCTAATTAACCTGGTGAAGAATTTACATGTCACTTTAAGCTGTATAGAAGTTTCTTGAAGCATATCTAGTCTAATATTATTTACTGTCATCATGGCAAAGAGAAAATAAATCAGTGTCAGTCTGTCTATCTGTATATCTATCTGTATATCTATCTGTCTATCTATCTATCTATCTATCTATCTATCTATCTATCTATCTATCTATCTATCTATCTATCTATCTATCTATCTATCTATCTATCTATCTATCTATCTATCTATCTATCTATCTATCTATCTATCTATCTATCTATCTATCTATCTATCTATCTATCTATCTATCTATCTATCTGTCTGTCTGTCTGTCTGTCTGTCTGTCTGTCTGTCTGTCTGTCTGTCTGTCTGTCTGTCTATCTATCTATCTTTCTATCTATCTATCTATCTATCTATCACACTCATGACCTTTGACCTATAACCTAAACAACAAATAAATGTCAATCATGTCGTTAAACATATTTTTAATTTTTTATTTCCCACCTATAAGAAATAAATTGATGTCATCCACCTGTAGATACGTAGATGAAGAGGCGCCCTCTAGTGTACCTAGGGTGATAATGGTCTGTGTTCGAACTGGCTAAAATGTGTAATGACGTTAGCCGTTTCAAACATAACAGGGGGCGCTAAACTGCGGTTTTCTCTGTGTTATTATCTATGATGTTTAACAGAGTAAATGAATGTTCACAGTATGTCTGATAATATTTGTTTTCTTCTGGATAAAGTCTTATTTGTTTTATTTTGGCAGTAATAAAAGCTGTTTTAAATATATATATATATATATATATATATATATATATATATATATATATATATATTATAATTTTAAGGTCACTATAATTATCTCCTACAAGCAGTATATTTTTCAATGGTCTACAGAACAAACCATCGTTTTGTTAACCTGGTTAACCTGGTGAAGAATTTACATGTCACTTTAGGATGTATAGAAGTTTCTTAAAGCATATCTAGTCTAATATTATTTTCTGTCATCATGGCAAAGAGAAAATAAATAAGTGTCAGTCTGTCTATCTGTATATCTATCTGTATATCTATCTGTATATCTATCTGTATATCTATTTATCTATCTATCTATCTATCTATCTATCTATCTATCTATCTATCTATCTATCTATCTATCTATCTATCTATCTATCTATCTATCTATCTATCTATCTATCTATCTATCTATCTATCTATCTATCTATCTATCTATCTATCTATCTATCTATCTATCTGTATATCTATCTATCTATCTATCTATCTATCTATCTATCTGTATATCTATCTATCTATCTATCTATCTATCTATCTATCTATCTATCTATCTATCTATCTATCTATCTATCTATCTATCTATCTATCTATCTATCTATCTATCTATCTATCTATCTAATTAACCTGGTGAAGAATTTACATGTCACTTTAAGCTGTATAGAAGTTTCTCAAAGCATATCTAGTCTAATATTATTTACTGTCATCATGGCAAAGAGAAAATAAATCAGTGTCAGTCTGTCTATCTGTATATCTATCTGTATATCTATCTGTCTATCTATCTATCTATCTATCTATCTATCTATCTATCTATCTATCTATCTATCTATCTATCTATCTATCTATCTATCTATCTATCTATCTATCTATCTATCTATCTATCTATCTATCTATCTATCTATCTATCTATCTATCTATCACACACACATGACCTTTGACCTATAACCTAAACAACAAATAAATGTCAATCATGTCGTTACACATTTTTAATGTTTTATTTCCCACCTATAAGAAATAAATTGATGTCATCCACCTGTAGATACGTAGATGAAGAGGCGCCCTCTAGTGTACCTAGGGTGATAATGGTCTGTGTTCGAACTGGCTAAAATGTGTAATGACGTTAGCCGTTTCAAACATAACAGGGGGCGCTAAACTGCGGTTTTCTCTGTGTTATTATCTATGATGTTTAACAGAGTAAATGAATGTTCACATTATGTCTGATAATATTTGTTTTCTTCTGGATAAAGTCTTATTTGTTTTATTTTGGCAGTAATAAAATCAGTTTTATATATATATATATATATATATATATATATATTATAATTTTAAGGTCACTATAATTATCTCCTACAAGCAGTATATTTTTCAATGGTCTACAGAACAAACCATCGTTATAAAATAACTTAACAAATTAACAAAATAACAAATTACCCTAACCTGCCTAGTTAACCTAATTAACCTGGTGAAGAATTTACATGTCACTTTAAGCTGTATAGAAGTTTCTTGAAGCATATCTAGTCTAATATTATTTACTGTCATCATGGCAAAGAGAAAATAAATCAGTGTCAGTCTGTCTATCTATCTATCTATCTATCTATCTATCTATCTATCTATCTATCTATCTATCTATCTATCTATCTATCTATCTATCTATCTATCTATCTATCTATCTATCTATCTATCTATCTGTCTGTATATCTATCTATCTATCTATCTATCTATCTATCTATCTATCTATCTATCTATCTATCTATCTATCTATCTATCTATCTATCTATCTATCTATCTATCTACCTAATTAACCTGGTGAAGAATTTACATGTCACTTTAAGCTGTATAGAAGTTTCTTGAAGCATATCTAGTCTAATATTATTTACTGTCATCATGGCAAAGAGAAAATAAATCAGTGTCAGTCTGTCTATCTATCTATCTATCTATCTATCTATCTATCTATCTATCTATCTATCTGTCTGTCTGTCTGTTTGTCCGTCCGTCCGTCCGTCCGTCCGTCCGTCCGTCCGTCCGTCCGTCCGTCTATCTATCTATCTATCTATCTATCTATCTATCTATCTATCTATCTATCTATCTATCTATCTATCTATCTATCTATCTATCTATCTATCTATCTATCTATCTATCTATCTATCTATCTATCTAACAAACGTACAAATAGATAAAATAAGTATATAAATAAATAATTGGCAATATTTTATGCCTGTATTATTTTCTAGCAGCATATGATTCTGTTCATATGATTGATGGTGTGAAAATTTCAAGTTAATTTTTATTTAATACACATTTACACACACACACAAGTATTTTATGAACATTAAATATAACTAAATGTTATAACAAATATTTACTAATTATGTATATGTAATATATTATAATTATTATAATTACTATATTCACATTTATCATTTATTATTCACAGGAGGGAGAACAGTACAGTATGTGTGTGTGTGTGTGTGTGTGTGTGTGTGTGTGTGTGTGTGTGTGTGTGTGTGTGTGTGTGTGTGTGTGTGTGTGTGTGTGTGTGTGTGTATGTATATATATATATATATATATATATATATACACACACACACACACACACACACACACACATACATATCCATATATATAAATTATTATAATTATTGTATATTACATAAAAACAATTATTACACATTTATTATAACATTTAATTTAAAACAATACAATTAAATATTTAAATTTTAAATGTAAATATGTTTTCCCAGTGATGGGTTGCAGCTGGAAGGGCATCCGCTGCGTAAAACATATGCTGAATAAGTTGCCGGTTCATTCTGCTGTGGCGACCCCAGATTATTAAAGGGACTAAGCCAAAAAGAAAATGAATAAATGAAAATATTTCTAAAATGATTTTGTGTATATTTATGAAATAATAAAATAACTTTTAATTTTCACACCATAAATCATGAACAGAATATACACACCTCACAAATGTCTCTCTCTAGATTCATATTTTCTAAAGGATGTATTTGTGTAAGGTCCAAGTACTAGTACTTGGCCAAGTACTAGAATTAGTACAGTAAAATTTAAATTTTGGAGAAAAATAAATATATTTTTATTAAACAGGAAAAATCAAGAGAAACATTAAAGAAATGGTTGAAAATGTGTAGTTTGTAATTGTTGTTTGCAATAATTCTTTAATTTAAATGTATTATCTTTCTATTCCTTAAGATGAGGTGACCTAACTCTTACCCTGATGAATATAAATTAAATTTTTTTTTTTAAATGTTTAAATTGAGAAATCTTAATTTTCAAAAGGGGTACACTCCTTTATGCTGACCACTGTGAACTTAGAAGAATATAACCAGCACTTCACCCAGCCTTAATGGTGTCACTTCGCATAAGCTCGTGCACATACCGCGGTCATGGAGGCCAGTGTCGGGCGCGCGCATCCCGGTTCGTTACGTCACTTGAAGCGCCCTGGCTCTTAGATCTGGCAAAGAGAGGAAGAAAACGACAGAAGTCTCTAAAACAGGGCTTTCCCCTCCGTTACCAGCTCTCAAAGTGATAACGGTCCATCTACAACACTACACACAGGCACAGCCATCTCACCAAACCGGACTAACCTCTTGTAGAAGAAGGTAAGGAGCTTTTCAAAGTGATTTTTCCACAGCTGAAGAGTCTGCTCGGACACAGCCCATTGATAGTGTGGGATTATATGGAGATATATCGGTATATTGCATAATGACAGGCTATATTCGTCCGTATGTGTCCGGACAAACTAAAGGGAAGGTAAATAAACCCGAGATTTCTCAATATGCGCACGAGTGACTCTTCAAATGAAACGCTGTTGCGCCAGCAGGCAATGGAGGAAAAGGAGGAGGGAAAAGAAGGAGAAATACACACACATTCCGTGTTAGGGAGCAGGCAGAGAGTCTCTTTCCATCGCAAGGTTTATGAGTCGACATACACGGACAACCTGGACTCTATTGTGTGGTAAAAGCCGTTGAGAATCCGTCCTAAGCTCCAGCCCAGGCGGTGTCAAGAGGAAGCCCTGTGACTACATGTGCATTTCGCACTTTCATTCCTGATTTATTAGCTTGTCCCTGTGTGAAGCAGGTTTAAATTGTCCGCGAGACGGCTACGGGATTGAATAGTAATTGTTACGAAGTCTCTCCTCACTCTCTGTGACGTCAGCAGGAAAATATGTATCGGTTACAAAATATCGCGGACGCGTAGAATAGTTACAAAGTATCTCCTCGCCGGGAAAATGTTTAGCTAAACTCCAAAGCTAGTGTTTATTGTTGCGCAAAACAAACCTTAAACACACAACAGCTTTGTTTGAAAGCAGAGGATGTTGTTATGGAAGTAGTTTAGTCGAGGGTCAGTCTCGTTTGTAGCTAATGTTGATTGGCTCCGGTGTGTAGAATCCAATAAAGCCCCTCCCTTAATTTTTTGGGGGTAATTAATACACAGAATTTATTACACTAGTTTTGCTTTTCAGTACTAATACCTAAACAATTTTAAATTTAGACACTTTATTTGAAGGGACTTTATTATTATTATTATTATTATTATTGTTGTTATTGTTGTTATTGTTATTATTATATTTATTATTATCCTCAACTATGTGGACACCTATTCATTGTACATATCACTGTCAATTTTACATTGTCGTTGTATTTGCACTGTCTGGATTTTGCCATGTCGTTGTAATTGCACTGTTTGTATTTTGTACTGTCTGGAGCCAGCACCTAAGCTTTTCACTCATCATAGCACACATGCTGCTGATGATGTGACAATAAAAGTGATTTGATTTATTATTATTATTATTATTCATTAATTTTCTTTTCGGCTTAGTTCTTTTATTATTCAGGGGTCGCCACTACGGCAAATTTAGCTTATTCAGTTCACCAAAACCACATGTCTTTAGATATGTTTCCCAGAGGAAACCCACGCTAACAAGGGTAGAACATGCAAACTCCACACAGAAATGTCAACTGACTCAGCCGGGGCTCGAACCAGCGACCTTCTAGCTGTGAAGCGATCATGCTATCCACTGCGCCACCTTAAAGGTAATATTTGTACACTTTCAAAAATAAAGGACACAGGAGCTGTCACTGGGGCTGTACTTTTTCAAAACAGACATATTTGTACCTGAAGGGTCCATAATGTTTCCTCTAAAATGCTAAAATGCACCTTTGAGGGACCACTGTACTACAGTCCTTTATTTCTTATTTTTAATATAACTGTTATCTTTATCTATTAATTATCGGATGTGATCTTTATGAATATACTTCATAGTACAATCTTCAATAATTATTAAACTGTTGCGATGACTATTGCTTGTTTTAATATTTAATTATGTCAATAAATATGAGTTTTATTTATTTTTTATTACATATTTCCTTATTACTTTTTTTTACTTTAGCAACATCTTTAGCTTACATTTTATTTTATATTATTAATATTATTAATTAATTGTTTTATTAAAATGTAATAAATGGTTAATAATTGATTATGTATATGTAATATACAATCTATAAATAGTTATTATGAAACAAAGCTTGCTTGTATGAAAGAATCAATATTTCTACACTGCTCAGCAAAGCCTAAATGAGTGTACCCCTCTCAAATCTCTCTCATAAACTAGTTTTTCATCAGTGGCTTTGGTGCATTTCTCAAAACATTATTTACATTTGCACAACAGGTAATGCATTTCTCTAAACAATTAGTACAATTAGAAAGCTCATTCCTCAAAAGCAAGTATTGATGTCAATGAAAGTGTCAATATTATCAAGATGAATAGTGCTGACGCCATTGTTTATGATCAAGATAGTTAAATGGCTGTCATGTTTTCATTTTGAGTTTGCTCTGTTAATGTTTTTCAATGCAAAAAAGTCAGATTTTGGTGACACTTTCTGAAAATGCTCAAGACAGCACTATATACTATTTGCACAGCCATTTGAAAACTACAGTAAAGTTAGACATCACTGCATTTAGTGAGGTATCTGAGTACAAGACACTAAATATGTATGTTTCACTTGTTTTACTGCGTATGCAATTAATTCACAGCTTTGTGCAAAAGAATGAATATACCTATATTTACAACAAACATACATTTTCTTTGAGTAGAGCTGTGCACAACTGTAAACAATATTGCAGCAAATAATGGTTTGAGAAATGCATTAACTGTTGTGCAAATGTAAATAGTGTTGTGAAAAATGCACCAAAGCCACTGAGAAAAACTGTAACACTATCTATAGGAATGCTAGGAAATGTATTATCCTATAAGATAAAATGTTTAAAGATAAAGGACTCATCTTGAATTTTGTTAAAATGATCAATACAAATATTTTCTTCACATGACTATGCAAAACACAAACTTTTTTGAGTACTTTTTTGATTGATACTGGTTGTAAATGAAAATTATAATTTTTAATAGACTTCGAAATAGACTTTAGGGCTGTTCAAGTTTTATAAAGCAACGAGGTATCAATTATATTCAACAGGTGTCTTTTGAATCAGTCTTGTGTTGTTGGTTCTTGTATTTACAGTAGACGGATTTGGATCTTTTAACATGCCCCATGTATAATCACACACATTCTCCTCTAGATTAGACCAATAGTGATTTGATAACCATGCTGAGCAAGTGCTTTCTCTGTTGTGTGTATCTCAGCAGGTTTTTCCTCCAGTTGACACATTAGTCCTGTAACGTTCAATCCGCTGGATCAATCCGGTGTATCTGTGTTTTTCAGGAAGTTGAAATCGAGGTCTTTCTGACAATAAAGGATTAGTTTAATGTCAGATTGACCTGGTGTGAACTCATAGGCAACAAATATCACTGACCGGCACACGTCTGTTTAATTTATAACAACAAAGCTCATTTGAAAGCCATAGTTATAGGTGGAAAGTATGTATAGCATGAAATCCTTAGTCTCATTTGCTTTTCATTTTTCATTTGCGCTATGACTATACACTCTAAAAAAAAGACTTTTGCTGCTTGTTTAAACTACTTCTTTAACCTCTTAGGGCTTAGTAGCCACATACAGGAACGGCACATTTTAGCTCTTTTGTTTTATATTTTGTTGCAGACATACAGTAACATCCTGCAACTGTTTTGCAGCATATGAAATGTCCCAAACACCATTTTAACTGTCCAAAATGGGCAAAATTTTTTGTTTTACTGATAGTCAAAACATGTGTAAAAAATATGTGTCTGTTATTGGTGCATTAAAAACATTCAGGAAAGAACTGCTGTGTTCAAGGCAGAAATAAAGAGTTTTTCATTCTATTACAAAAAGATGACTATTGAGTTTTATGTAAATTCGGACCACGAGTCCACATGTATGGACATCATTTTTCTCTATAAGTACATCACATCAAAAGATGACTCTTAAGTTGTATTCTAATTAGGTTCCAATAAGCCCAAATAGCAAAGAGAAATAAAAAAGGCATGGAAAAAAACAGCTTGGGCCTTAAGAGTTTAAAAGGAGTTGAAATAAAACAATTTTTAAGGCTTTTTGGGACAGTAAAACAGTTTAAGTATGGATTGGTTAAAGTGCAGTGCATGCTACATATGGAAGAGTCTGTGTGAGGTGTGTTAAGTGTTCATCAGCCTTATAGTCTGAGGGAAGAAACTTTCCTTCAGTAGGCTGGTGCGTGACCGGAACAATCGAGCGTTTTAAAACAATCAAGCGTACAATAAAACTGTAAAGTCTTCATTAAAAAAATAATTAAAAACAAATAACCTTTTGTAAAGCTAAAAATGTTTAATAAAATGTTTTAATACTTTAATAATGCTTAGAGGCCTTAAAACACACACACAATTGATAAACCTTCACTTTTTATGGTTAACCTGAAATGGCTCCACAATTGTACCTGGTCAACTATAATCCTGACTCCACATTACAGAAGATGTCTATTGCAGACTCACCTAGGTGATGTCGATGCTAAAACAATATATTGTGCTGGCTTAGTTGTGATGTACCCCTGGTTTGATCAGCAGATCCAAGCGCTTTTTTTAGGTAGAATAAAAAGCAAGTGAGAAAAGTGAAGATGTTTAGAATTGAGACGTATTATCAGGATGAACCTCTGAGATTAGGGTGTATATGATTGACCTGTCTCTCCTTCTGTAAGCTCTGGCCTGCTCCTGATTCTGATTTCATCACTGGAGGGTGCAACACATGTGAAATAAAGGGAGAATGTTTGGTGCTTGGATATGGAGACATGCAGGAAAGTTTGTCTTGTCAGCGTGTAGCAGCATGCTTTCGATTCTCTGGGGGAAGGTGTTGCTCTTGTAGTGGTTTTGAAGTTGTTGGAAATGTATTTTTTATTTTTGGATATGTCAGTGTTATGCAATCTGGAGTGTTAAGAGACACACTTTTTGAACTGGCGAAGCTGTTGTGGGGATCTTTGCTGATTGGTGGTTGATATTAAAGGTGGCAAGATAGCTTTGCAAGAGTGCATCCTGATTATTATTATTATTTATTTATTTATATTTCATACATCAGTCAATATAAGATATTTAATTGTCAGTGCTATTTTTATTTGGCTTGTGTTTTTAAATGTATATGTTTTAACGTTCTCTAGGTAAAGATCATATTTTAACATAATAGTAATTTAATAAAACAGTTATCTT